GGGGGGGGGGGGGGGAAGAAGTGAATGGAGCGGCGGGAATTTAGAAATTTGGGGAAACATATGAGCAGAAAGAAGATATATATATATATATATATATTTAAATATATATACAATAAACCAGCCAAAATTTCTTTTATATATATATATATACATATTATAACTATTTTGAAACGTTATTATATATAACCAAAAAACGTTTAATAACGTTTTTTTAAACGTTATAACTAAATGTTATAAAAGGGCTATTCTATTGTGGTGTAGGATGATTGTTAAAACTTAATATATGACATATTCATAAAAAACTAAAAAATAATAATAATACATGCACAAAATATAAGTTTAAAAGTTTTTATATGATTTGCTATCAAGCATAACTTTTAGTAGCAAAAAATACCTTTTTGCCACCAAAATATAAATTTGGTAGCATAATTATGTTTTCTGCTACTAAAATTTGGTACCAGAAAATTATATTTTTTGTTACCAAACATTATTTTGGTAGCCGAAAACATATTTTTTGCTAAAAGACATGTTAAAAAAACTATTTTAAAGCCAAAAATTATTTTAGAATCATTGTTCTAGTAACATTATAACAAAAAATATAGTTTTGAAATTGAAATACATTATTCAAAGTTAAAAATCAATCAAATAGCAAGATTATATACTACTCTATGTTGAACATATACTTAATTAACAAGATCACATATATATACACATGAACATGTCTCTAGTTACACCTACACAAAATAACTAAATTATTAAATAATTGTTATACAAAATATACTAAGATAATTGTTAAAACTTAATATTGGACATATTCATGGAAATCTAAAAAAAAAAAAACAATACATGCAAAAAATATAAGTTTTAAAGTTTTAATATGATTCGCTACCAAACACAATTTTTGGTAGCAAAAAATACCTTTTTGCCACCAAAATATGAATTTAATAGCAGAATCATGTTTTTTGCTACCAAAATTTGGTACCAAAAAATTATATTTTTTGTTACTAACATTATTTTGGTAGCTAAAAGCATATTTTTTGCTACTAAATTTGAATTTGGTACCAGAAAGACATATGTTAAAAATTAAAAAAATATATTTTAATGACAATTTATTTATAATCATTTTTCTAGTAACATTATAACAAAAATATGGTTTTGAAATTGAAATACATTATTCAAAAGTAAAAATCAATTAAATAGCAAGATTATATACTACTCTATGTAGAACATATACTTAATTAATAAGATCACATATATATACACATGAACATGTCTCGTGTTACACCTGCACAAAATAACTAAATTATCAAATAATTGTTATACAAAATATACTAGGATGATTGTTAAAACTTAATATAGGACATATTCATAGAAAATTGAAAAAAAAAAAAAAGCAATACAAGCACTAAATATAAATATTAATGTTTTTATATGATTTGCTACCAAACACAACTTTTGGTAGCAAAAAACGCATTTTTGTCATGAAAATAAGAATTTGGTAGTAATTTCTTGTTTTCTGCTACCAAAATTTGGTAGCAAAAAATTATGTTTTTTGGTAGCAAAAACTTGATTTTTCGCTACCAAATTTTGGTGGTAAATAGTTATATTTTACTTCCAACACTTGATAGCAAATGTTATATGTTTTGCTACCAAAAATAATTCGGTAGCAAATAACTTGGGCGGGAAAAAATTTTGCTTCCCGCCAACTTTTTGTTACCAAAACATGTTTGGTAGCGAAAAAGTAATATTTTGCTACTAAATTTTTTGTGGCAGAATCTTATGCTTTTATTACTAAATATTATTTTGGTAGCAAAAAGCTATTAACGGGAACCAAATTTCATTTTCTGTCATGTTATTTGTTACCAAATTATATTTGGTAACGGATTGTGTTGTTTTTACTACCAAATTTGGTAACTAAAGACTTGATACTTTCAGCTACCAAAGTTTGGTAGCAAAACGTGTGTTTTCTGCTACCAAAAATTTTTTGGAATCAAAAAGTTTGGTCTCTTAAAGTGATTATTCTTGTAGTGACCTAATTGGAGCTTTTATTTGCGCTTTACTTGGTGTATATATACACTGAAACATCAGTTTGTCAAATTCAGTGTCGCTTGAACAAATGCTTTGGAATGTGATGGTGTCGTGAATTTTGCTCAAATCGGATGAGGAAATGAAAGTTTGGGAGCATTTAGAGTTTCTCATAATTAAGTTTTATGTTGCTGAATTTTTCATATTATGATAATTCTAGATGTGTTCGGGTTCAAAATTTCCTTTCATCAGCCGAGAAAGGCATTTGTCGAAGCTGCAGAATCTATTGGTTTTGCTCGCCAAGAGAGTTTGGGTCCAGAAAAACGTGAGGCATAAAGAAATGGTGAGCTGCACTTGCAGATGCAATGTGGGCTTTTGGTCTTTATCAATTTGCTTGAATAAAATTGTTCGAATTTGTCTTAGAATACGTTTGGTTTGATGGAATAAAGTAGAAATAAGAATAAGAATATGAAAATAATATAATGTGAATGAGAATAGATTAATGATGTATTCAAATTTCGTAATTTAGTTAAGCATTTGAATTAATATTGGAATCACAATGTTGGTTAATCTTGAAATAAAACATAATATATAGTATAAGTTTTTAGCTTATTTATTAATATTGACATGGTGAAAAAGGATATTTAAAGTAAATTTTATAACATTAGGAGGGAGAATTTAGGAAGAGAAAATTTTAATTATTTCAGTTTTGAAATGAAATGGTCATTCAACTTATTCATTTTAGGAATTGTTATTCATCGACTTGATGGAATAGCAATTCAATTAGAATAGTTGTTCATAAGTCTTTTTGTCTAACCAAGAATTGTCATTTCATTGTAATGGTCATTTTACCAAATCAAACGTATCATTAGAGTGCATCAGTCTGAATTTTTATTATTTACTCTTAATTATTAAAATTTTGACTAATATAGTTATTTGACTAAAAAAGATATTAATCAAAAGTAAAATGTAAAAATCTAGATACATACATTATAAGAGTTATTTGTCTCATTTTCCCATTGTTTATTATATTAAAATTCGAGAGAAAGTTGATGTTGGGTTAAACCCCAATGTCCGATTTTATAGGGTATTGCATTGGATTAGGAAGATTTACCTTGGATTTGATTATTGGCCCTTAAGAAAATATTGCTCCTATTTTGTATTACGTAATTGTTGTTGCAGATTAAGCAACTTAATTTTCATTAACGAGAGCAATAATTTAAAATAAATACAAACAAGCATATAAACAAAATTTATAGTAGTGGGAGTTATGCACTATGATGAAAAAGAAGGTTACAAAAGTGTTACACAACTTGCATCTCAGATTTACTGTATTTCTCTCTAATCTAATTTCAGCCATGAAGTTGTTATGTAATGCTTAACTACCTCAAAAATCCGTTTTGAGTAACAAATCTTGCAAAAGTTAGGTGCTTTTAAAGTTAAAATAAAACAAGGTAGAATGAGAAAACAACAGTAACTTAAGAAGCCAAAAATTCAGAAAATGACATCCAATTTAAAAGCAACAAAAATTCAAAAAATGACAACGGTAAAGCCTGAAAACAATAATGAAATAAATAGACAATTCTTTCTACACAACAAGGTAAAATTATTGTCATGTCCACACCAAAATTCTTTCTTTATTTTTTTTAACTATAAGCAAAATTCTTCATACATTCTAACTTTAAGCAATCATCCATTATATCATGTTCATGATCGTCATCTTTTTTCATCTTTTTTCAAAGGCTAAAGATGGCCTGCCAACAAACCATGTCTCACAAGATTTCGTTATTTCTTTTGACTCGGTCCTCTTTAAATGGCTTTGATGATCTCGATTGCTATTTTCATCGCCTGAATGCCCTTTAGGTGATTCCTTTTATAATACATATACATATACATATATATTATATATATCTATATAATATATATATAGATATTATTCTGAGTTATAGGATTTGTTGGGTTATTGACTCTTTACCTGAACGTCACATTAGTTATGGACTAAACATTTTGTTTTCAATAAGCTCATAAATAAGAGCTCCATATCGTAATGATTAAATGAATATATATATATATATATATTGTTAGAAAATAATGGCATCGAGTGCGCAGCGGAATTTAAAAAATTTAATCAACGTCAAAGCCAACCAAGAACATGTTCATGATGCTATATAACATAAATACTAAAGATCTAAATCACACCTTTTGAGATTTAGGAAACTGCACGTCTGACAGATCAAAGCGTTCCAAACAGCAACTAGAAGAGCCTCAACCAACTGGTCTTCTTTGCTATTCTCGTTTCCACGATCGGAGTGCGGGTGGGCACATGTCGTTCAATCTCCTCTTGGTATTCTTGATCTCCTTCCAATCACAAGAGAGCCAAAGAAAAAATTGTTCTTGAGAATTAAACAATTTTTCCTCTCAGGAATCTTTTATCAATAGCCTCTAAAAAGTCTCTCAAGTGATCTTCTGAGTAATGTGACTTAATAAGTTATTTATAGTGTTTAGGAAGTCATACTTCCGTAATAATTAAGTTTCCCAAAGTCTTAATCGCATCCAGAGTCGATTTTGTTACGTCAACATGCATTTTACGTTACAGCCGGTCAACCGGTGACAGAAACGTTATAACTCACCGGTCGACCTGTCTTCACTAACCGGTCGACCTGTCTGCACCGACGAAAGTTGTTTTCCTAGTTTTTTAATACGAAAAACTTGCATAGAGCCTCAGTTTTGATTCAAGCAACCCAATAGAGAAATTGTCTGATCAAAACAGTCATAT